GAAACCTTTCCCGAGCAGCCGTCATAAAAAAGGATGAAAAAAGGTGAAAACCGTAATGTTTGATATACATTGCTTTTGCAAACCATCACTTAATGTGTACATCTACTTTCATGAATAAGCACTTACAGATTCTGAGCTGGTACAGACAGAATAATCAGTTTCTTGCTTAAAGGACAACTCTGCATTTATTACAGTTTTCCTTAAACATGTCCCTCCATCCCCCTGAGCACAGCCCGCCTGGGTAAATGCTTGCCTTCCACCCTGCTCTAGTGATTTTAACTGTGCTGCCTTCAGGGCCAGATTTCCCACAAGGCCACCGAGGCCTGGCCCCGCGGTGGCAGGGAGGAGAGGGGTGCCACAGCCACTGGGCGGGTAGGTTTTTTTCTACATAAAGACCTGCTTCGTGCATGCAGGGCTAAATGTAGAGTGGGGAAGCTGACAATATTGTCTGGATTTTTCCCAACTGCAGCGTGGCTCCGCACTGTCAGCAAATAGCAGTTGGTAGTCCTCAAGATGCTGACTTTGGGTGACAGGAGTACAGTAGTAAATGTACTGCGTTTTTGTTTTTGTTTTTTACCCAAAAGGGCACTAAAGCCAAAAAAAAAGGCTTGGCTATAGTTTTCTTTTAAGCCTTGCTATCTGTCACAAAACCCCTCCTACACTGCTCTAGACCAACATGTGCAACTGCTTTTGTGCCCACCATCTTACCAGCTATGACATGCTAATAGTTAAACTGCGGAGTCTTGACCCCATGCAGCACACTTAAAGGCTTCCATCCAAACCTGAGCTCTACCACAACGTCCCAGTTCTGCCATCTGTCATTTCCCATTTGTGAGACCCAAGAGCAGCGCCAGTGTTCAGGTACAACCCCAATTCTAAAAAAGGTGGGATACTGTGTAAAATCTACATAACAGAATGCAATGATTTGCAAATCTCATAAACCCATATTTTGTTCACAATACAAAATAGAAAACATATGAAATGTTTAAACTGAGAACATATACCATTCTAAGAAAAATTGTCCTGAAATATGCAAGCCCTTCCCTGAAAAGGACGTTGTCTGGATGGGAGCATATGCGGTTCTAAAACCTGGATATATCTTTCAGCATTAATGGTGCCTTTCCAGATGTGCAAGCTGCCCATTCCATACACACTAATGCACCCCCATTCTTTCAGAGATGCAGGCTTTTGAACTGAGCACTGATAACAAGCCGGAAGGTCCCTCTCCTCTTTAGTCTGGAGGACGCAACCCCCGTGGTTGACAATAAGAATGTAAAATTTTGATTTGTCTGACCACAGAAGAATTTTTCACTTTGCAACAGACCATTTTAAATGAGCTTTGGCCCAGAGAAAATTGCAGCGTTTCTGGATCATGTTTAAATATGGCTTCTTCCTGCTTGCCGGATGGAGAATTTTTGGATGGCACAGCAAACTGTGTTCACAGACAGTGATTTTTGGAAGTATTCCTGAGCCCATGCAGTGATGTCCATCACAGAATCATGCCTGGTTTTAATGCAGTGACGTCTGAGGGCCCAAAGATCACGGGAATCCAATTTGGCGTTTCGGCCTTGTCCCTTGAACACAGAGATATTTCTCCAGATTCTTGGAATCATTTGATGATATTATGTACCGTAGATGATATATTTAAAGTCTTTGCAATTTTACTTTGAGGAACATTATTCTGAAATTGTTCGACAATTTTTGGACGCAGCTTTTCACAGATTGGTGAACCTCTGCCCATCTTTACTTCTGAGACGCGCTGACTCTCTAAGATGCCTGTCTTATACACAATCATGTTACTGACCTGTTGCCAATTAACCTAATTAGTTGCAAATGTTCTTCCAGCTCTTCCTTGTTAGCACCATTTCCTTTGCCAGCTTTATGTTGCCCTCCCCAAACTTTTTTGAGACTTGTTGCTGCCATCAATTTCAAAATTACCTTTTTTTTTTCTTAAAATTGTACATTTGCTCAGTTTAAACATTTGATATGTTTTTTCTATTTTCTATTGTAAATAAAATATGGGTTTATAAGATTTGCAGATCATTTCATTCTGCTTTTTTGTAAATTTTATACAGCATCCCAGCTTTTTTTGGGATTGGGGGGTTGTACATTGTGCTTGTTGGTTTGTTGTTTTTACACAAGTTGTTGTAAGACTTATTGGACTTTATTAGAAAGTTATTTGCATGTCTTTATTGCTTGTTGTAAATGTCTTGATTCAAAAAGCCAACTCAAAGATAGTATTCCAGGTATTTATTTGCAAGCAATATGCATCTAAAATAGAGCAGTCGATGAACTCATTTACAATCCAAAGGGGTTATATTCCCCTTTGGTGTTCGTTTAGAAAATGTCCTCCAACAGTTGCAGATTTTTAAGTGACTAGATAGGGATAAACATTACAAGGGCTGGAATGTTTAACACAGAGATAGCCGTCCCTGCCAGAGATCACACAGCAGCCTCTTATGGGACACAATCCAGTCCCCAAATGGTGAGAGCAGATAACAGACACAAACGCACCATAAATACTTCTGCTGCAAACAAAGGGATAATTCCAAGTGAAAACCATGAAGGACAATTTCAGGTCTGCCTTTGTCTAATGACCCTCTTCACAAAGGTAATAAGCCTATTTTATCAACTTTTTGTCATTTCTAGACACCCACTGTGACACATTCAGATGAATAAAATGTGGCTATTTGCTTTCATTATGTAATTGTGGCTCAAACGGACACTACAAAATGTCAATTTTTGGGGTTTTGTCTTCCTGCATACCTTTTGTAATACTGAACTGATTGTAATTCAGTGACTGTTACTTTGGTAGATTGTAATAATATTTGTACCCAAAAAAAAAAAGTTAATTGCCTATCCTTCTCCCTAAAGCATTGTAAAAATGCATATAAAGCCCACATTAAAATCATATTTGTTTCAAATATTCTCTATGCTACATTTTGTTCATTTATTTTGCTCATTTATTTTGCTAGTTATTCATGAATTATTCACTTTGCATTGTATTTTTGTTAAACAGGTTTGCATTGTGTTTTCATTCGATTTATATCTGTGATTGTGCATTTAAATTTAGTCTGTCTTTAGCAGTAATGCAAAGCCTAGCAAATAGCATAGCAATACCCACTAATCACAGTAGGCACAAGGGGCTCAAACGCTGCCACTGGTTTTAGTGTAACCATCGTTAAAGTGGACCTGTCATCGTCCATCACATATATAAATTGGACACTTGTCGGAATAACAAAATCATAATATTATTATGGGTAAAAAGTACCTCTTTCTTTTTGCTCGGTTCACAGGATATTTGCTGCGTGCATTATATTATGAACCAGTAAAAGTGCACCTGTGCTGTGAACAGAAAGAAAGTCTCAATTCTAGAAAAAATCCTACTGATGTGAATGTACAACACAGTGTAAAGGAGTCTGGGAATTGTAACCTATAGCACAGCATACAAAGTGCCGTGGGTGAAATGTATTGCATGGGAAAGCATGCAGTGCAATCTGAAGCATGTTACATACAGCGGAGCATAGTTAACGCGGCTTTTAGCGGTATGTATTGTACCACAAGGGTTCAGTGATCCAGAGTATGTAATGTATAGCACAAAATATAATGTGCTACAGTCAGTACCGGTAGTATGTAATGTACAACATGTTGTACAGAATGAATCCGTCATGATTTTGTCATGCACAGCACAGCACAGCATACAGATTGCCTGAGTCTGTAATACTCAACACAGCATTCAGAGTGCAGCAGTCAGGCTTATGTAATGTACAACATGTTATAATACAAAGTGCAACAGTTCAAAGTATGTAAAGTCCAACACAATAGGGTGCTGAAGTACAAAATTTGTAATATACACCACCGCATACTGGGTGTAGCAGTCGCGAGTGTGTAATGTACAACGTGTTGTACAGACTGCAGCAATCCAAAGTATGTGATGTACAGTATGGCATACAGAGAGCATTGGTCTGGAGTAAACAACTTTCTGTAAATCAATGGCATAGTGGTTAGCGCTTCTGCCTTGCAGCACTGGGGGTGCCTCGTTTGAATCCCGCCCAGGTCACTATCTGCAACGAGTTTGCATGTTGTCCCTGTTTTTGCATGGGTTTCCGCCGGGTTACCCAGTTTCCTCCCACACTCCAAAGACATGTTGGAAGGTTCATTGGCTCCTTTCTAAATTGGCCCTTCTATGTATGCATGTGAGATAGGGACCTTAAATGGTAAGCTCCTTTAGGGCAGGGACTGATGTGAATGTACAACTATGTAAAGCCCTGCTTAAATTGTCGGCGCTATATAAAGACCAGTAATAAATAATAATAATAAATACGCACATTCATGCCCTTCCACGGAACACTTTGAAAACGGACAATATGCTTGCGGTGCCATTACAAATGCCTGGTGACAAAAACACGGTACGCCTGTAGCAGAATCTGCTACATGGGATACTTTCCCACTTTGTCGCGCATGCGGCACCCATTGAAATCAATGGGCATCTTGTGGCAAATGTGGGTCAAAACGCACGGGAACGGACTGCAAAGGTGTGAACAGGAACTTGATAATTTACAGCACAGCATAGAAAGTCAGGAATATGTAATTTACATAGTGTGAATAATATACGCTGCTGCGTAGAAATGTCATTCATGTACTCCACATTGTTTCCCTATGCTGCATTCTATCATTACATTTACTAATTTTAAAAAAAAGTAGCTAATATGTTTCATTCTGAATTTAAACAAATACCTCACATTATGAAAAAAATACTAGGAACAGAATGTTTTTGCTTCCTATATTGTAACTGGAAGTTGACGGGCCAAAGTGCAATACACATATGCATTATTGTAGCCTTGATAGGAGTGCTTAGAGTCCAAATCCTGACACTTTCCCTCTTTTGCTCTTTGCATCCAGTAGGAATCCCTGCTAGATTTTTTCCCCTGTCTGTATTCTAATGAGGAGGCAGGGCAGGGTGATCTGGGAGGGCTGCCTCTTTGGAATCTCAGTATGTTTTGTGTGTCAAGCTGTTTGTCGGAGTTTAAATGAACAAATGCATGGCTGTGCCATAGAAAGGACTACACTGAGCTGATATCCTGCTAGCTATCTTATTACAACCTTTTGGATTTGTAAACTCCTTGTAAGAAGGAGCAACAGACGTAAGTGCTTTTATCTCCTTGATGCATGGGAAAAGGCTATGGTGCTTTGGAACTGAGCTGTGGAGGCTGTATGATCTTTGCATTAGGAAGTAAGAGACTTTTCACTTTGTCCATTGCTGACATGTGGTGTTCATTGTGAAAGTGTGTGTGTGCATATAATTCATGGCCACATTAAACTGCATGCAGTTGTATTATTCTGGAATGGAAACGTTTGTTCTGCCTCTTGCAGATGGAGTTTGCTTTACTAAAATAGGGAAAGTCTTGTAATACTGTACACGTCTGACTGAATTTTCCATTAGTGTATGACTAAGCCATCTATTTACTTACTGCAAATGAGTGTGTTCTGCAGGAACCAGTCTGTTTCTGCAGTCCATCTGTCTTCAGTTGGTCGATTTGACATGTTGTAGATGGCTGAAGTCATTGAGTAGTTTGCCAAGGCTGAAAACCAGCACACGGATTAGAGCATGTAACAGTGAAAACTATTGTCTGTTTACATGAATATAATCAAAAATGATTTCATATAAGCAGGATATCTAGAACGCCTCTAAAGTTCTTTTCCTGCACAGTTTTGCAGCTGGGGCTAATGCTTTCACTGACTTGACATGTGAACCAAGCAGCAATTGCTAAACTCAGCAAATAGTCCAAATCCCCATGGTCTGCTGGAAAGTTGCCTGAAAACAATAGTGCATTTTGCATCTCTTTGGTCTAACACAATGCCGTGATGCTTTAATTAATTGAAAATAAACACCTTGGATAACATAAGCCCTGCAGCAAAATGTGTACACCTCATAGTGTAATCCTGGAAGATGGTTAATTATTAGCTGCATGTCAGTGCGTTTGGAAAAAAAAATTCAAAACAACTACCTTTTCTTCAAATAGCAGCATTTCACGCTTCACGTGCCATTGATTACAGATATTGTCTTCATTGCCACCTGGCAAATACTTTTTCCACTCTTTGGGAGTGACTTGAAATGGCATATATTTAGCCCTGCATGGTACCTCCATGGATTGCAAGGCTAAAGGCCGTTTTCTTAAAAAATGGTTTAGAATCTTTCCCATAAAAAGCTGTGCCGATCTCAGAACCTTATTAGGCTGAGAGTTAGGAATGCACTGCTGTAACCCTAGAAGATGTTTAAATGAATGACGTGTTTGTGATTGCCTCTCTACATCCGCATGTTGTGTACGAGATGCTACGCTGCCCATATTAGCCAAAGCTTTTATTTATTGTATGTACGTTTTGGTTTACTCTGCAAGAATCTGTTGTGTTTTGAAACAGTTATTCTAAATGAAAACTGTTGGTGGTGGTGTTTGCACTTTGTTTTACTATTATGTGTGTTTTCATAGTTGCATATGTTCCAGGTATTTATGATCTGTGTTCACCTTATACATAAGCCAAAGGGCAAAGCATAGCAACCAAGAGAAATTATCTTTTAATTAAAACTGATGAAAAGTAAATTCCAGTTGGTACACGCTTCACAACTTGAACACCCTAAAACTCTGCCATCTTCCTACTACACAAGCCATAATTTTACATGCTAGCAATAATCTGAATGTTTAGTAGATGTCAGAAAGAGGACATTGAAAGTTTGCTATTTGACTTTAACATCTTGCATTATAGCCATCCATGTACCAATGAGCAACAGGATATTGTGAGGGATTCACAAGTCTCAAGGGCTGTACATGCTGCTTGTATGGAAGTGTTGTAATTCTATCCTGTACAGAGCTCTGTCTGTATGGTTTGTTCTACAGCTTTTCTGTCTGTTGTACTTAATGTGAGGGATTTCAGTTTCCTCTAGAATGGTTGGGCCTGTCCTTGATTCCCTGGAGATTTATGCTGTAGTGTCACGCCCTGACATAACAAGTTATAGAACAGTTCAAAGGAAACCTCAGACCTTTTTGTACTAGATATCTAGAAAGACCATTCAGTGAAATGAGAAGATTCTTGACCCATCATATTTTATTCTGTACTAGTTACTCCCTCACATTAACTACAACAGACAGTTATGCCTGTCTTTGATTTCCCAGAGATGTATGCTGTGTAGTGTCACTCCCTGACATCACTAGTTATATAACCTTCTCTTCGTGTTATACCATTTATTAAGCCATATAAAAATTGAATGAAAAGATACTCACAAATATCTGTCTACACCAATAGCGTATAAATTATGTATCCAGCATAAAGATGACAAACGACATCGGTGTACAGCATCGGACATCAGAGTGTTACATAGAAGCAATATAGCTGACATGTTTCAAGGGAAAGTCCCTCTTCTTCAGAGCATAATGCAATAGTAGTATTCAGCTGACAGCAACAATGTCGTTTGTCATCTTTATGTTGGATACATAATTTATATGCCGTTGGTGTCGACGAATGTTTGTGAGCATCTTTTCATTTAATTTTTATACGACTTAATGTTAATAAATGGTATAACACGAAGAGAAGGTGCTGTTGTTATTCTTTTTTACATGACGTCTGAGGCTTCCCATCCTGTGGTTGCACAGCAGCTCCTTCAAGGTTATTGAATTGAAGTGTGTTTTGGTCCTTCCCTTTTATGATTCGTGAAACCACTACCGAGCGCTCACTTACCTGGCATACGTTAGTTTTATAATAATTTAAAAAAGACCACAGACATTTTTGTAATAGATGTCTAGCTAAGCAAACTTGACTCTACCATTTAGTAAAATGAGAGGACACTTGACCCACCATATTTTATTCTGTATTGTACTTGTTCTCCCACCTGCCGTATTACATATAGATGGACTTTCCCAAAGTGGGTAAATATGGGCTGATAGGGACTTTTCCCAAAGTGGGTAAATATGGGCTGATATGTAAAATGGAAAGTAAAAAGATCCCTGAATTTGTTTCCTCATTGCAAGGCACACTACCACTTTTCTTTTCTGATAGTTTGTGTAAATCAGAGAGATGGAACCATATGATCCATGAAATGGCCATCACCCCTGTCTCTCTTCCAAAGGACTTCCTCTTTGGCTCACAGCACAATCTGGAAAAAGTTGAATAAGACATGAAGTGTGTGATTTAGTGAAAGCTCTCTAAATATCCAGTCAGAACACAAGTTACCAAATGTTTTGCCTATTACCATGTGCGGGTGGCATTGTATATTGTGTTGAACACTACTAATCAGGCTTGTTACATACTGTATTTTTTATCTTCAGGCAGATAGGTAGAATGTACTGGGTTGGTTTTTAATTTACCCATGGATTTGAGATGATCCCTCTGGCTCAACTATGTTGGCATTTTTCATGTGACGACTAGTGCACTGAGGGTAGGTCTATCACAGACAGGAAGGGGAGGGGGTTTGCCTGCCCTTCACCTCCATCCACCATAGACATGAATTTATATGCTCTGGTGATCTAAGCAATCCCGTTACACAGGTCTATTATCTATGGTCATCTTTATTCTAGAAAGGCCACTTGTGTCCCTCAGGCCAGATTTTCCATAACAGGCCTTCTGCAAGCCTGACATTCCTGAATAGGAGGCAGTTCAGCAAAACACACTTTGTTTTAAATATTTATTCTTTACCCCTTGTTCTTACAGGTAGGCAAACAAATACAACAGTGATATGCAGCTAATCAAAAGTATTTAACGGATCTGAATACAAGAAACTGAAATCTGATTGGTTGCCACTAATGACACTTTGTACATTACCATTGCTCTTTCCGAAGCCCTATTGAACTCTGATAATCTGATATAGTGTCAGTAAAGAGAGGATTGACAATGTTTGTTAAATGTAAATTTGTATATGTATTGTATTCTTGATTTGTAGTTAAACTTGAATGAACCTCTCGTATATTAGAAGGCTCCCCACCTGCCGAGCTGCCTTGTGTCATCTTCTGTAAGCCTCCCACTCTCCAGCCATGTTGGTTCTGCTCATCTTAATGATCTAGTAACATCTGGCACTCATAATAATAGGGAGTTAACAACATTTACATGGTGGGAATGGTTGAGCAACATACAAGACAGGTCTTTAGTCATTTTTGTTTCTCACAGTGGGATTTTATTGAATCTGTCATTTCCATGTTTGTGTTTCCTCTCCATCACAAGATTGTCATGTGTCTGGCTTACTTCATAGAAGTCACAGTAGCTGAATGAGCATAGCACGCTGAAGAACTTCTTTCAACCGAACCAGTATCATGGCTAAATACTGTGAAAACAGTCTGCTTAATTATTCACACTGGCATTTCATAATCCTAATCCTGTATCATGTATCCAGCAACAGTTATGAGTGGTAACCTATTTTGTGATTTTTAGTATGTTTAAATTTTCTCTGTAGGTACTTATGCATAGGCTGACCCGATGGCAAAGCATTGGGCTTTGTTGGAAAACCTGTCCCAATCGCTTCTGTACCCCCTAAGATAAGTGGCAGATGAGCATATGCCTTCCCTGCTAATCTTCTTACCCTCCTCTCTCCATTGACAAGAACTTGCTAGCACTGCATAGCTAAGCTGACAAGTTTCTGAAGCACTGTTCCATTGTCCTTTAAAGTGGACCTTGCATCAAAATGGCAGGGTTCACTAATCCTTCAGACCTACATTTGTCCCATGTAAAAACACAGAAAAAAAACACACAGGAAAAAATTGAGTATATTTACCCACCTGAAGATCCCAACTCTTGTAAGAAGAAACTAAGTAAGTAGAAAAATCGCTTTTAAATGTCCAACACAAGAAATCCCATGATTTTCAATGGCCCCTGTTCACTCATGAGCAGCAAAACACCAAATGCAGAAAAAAGTACATGAGCGTTTATGGCAGTTTCAAGCTCGTTTTTCCCCCAAAGACTTCAATGGAAATGCCAGGAAACGTGCGGCAGAAGCATGTTGCACATTTTCGTGCGCGTTTTTGCATGTTTCTACGCACGTTTGTCCATTTGACCACAATGTTTCTTGAGCTGGCAGTCAAAACGTGCGTCTTCATGTGCGAGTGTTTCCACGTGTGTAAAAAATGTGCCAAACGCGCAAAAACTATGCTGCCTTGGTGTGAAC